TCAGTAAAATGAGGACGATGACCATACTTAGCACATGAAGTGTGATTGCAATGAATAAAAATATATCAGAATCACAATGGAAAATCGCACATTCAAATGGGGTAATTGAGGATCATTTAATAAAGGAACTATTTATAGACTGGAATGAGGGTAGTCATAAGAAATGATGAAATACCCCAATATTGGAAAAATAAAAGTCATTACCACTATAGGCTCGAAAAGGCAAAGAAGAGAATAGATACCCGAACCCAGAGAAGATATTGAGTTGTAGTTGTGGGAGAGGACACTGACAAGTACTTTAATAGAAGAAAGCAACTGTCCTTTGATGACCCAGCAGAGGTAAAGCTGAGGAATGCAATGCTCTAAAATCCCTCTGTTCTCTTCATCTGATCTACTGCCAGTATTTCCCATTCGCCAAATCAAAACAGACGCAAAGGGCAAGTCTGCCTATTGATGCAGCCACCATGTTCAGCATGTGAGACTCGGAGCAGAGGGCAGAATGGTGGAGAGTGGAACTGGAAGGCCGCCAGTGGCTCCCTAGAACACAGTGCATGTAAGGCACTTAATACTACGACTTCAGGATGCAAAAATTCTTGGGTCTTGCGCCAATAACACAGATAAAGGGGATAAAATAAAAACCCTAGTTTTCTGTAGAGCCATTGAGCAGTGGACACAAGGAAGCCATGATGAATGAACTCACAAGAAGAATGAGCCCTTCATAGGTCAGCAGAGCTCTGTGGCAGCTCACCCCTGGGGCAAATGCAGAGGTGTCTGGCTGAGGACAGGGCCTGCCAGAAATGAAGAGGCTACAGGGATAATGAGAAAAAAACTGAGCCCTTAACTTCAGCTGAGCTGGTGGGACTAATCTGAGGAGTCTAGCTCCAGGCCAAAGTTCTATATGTGGCCATTCAAGCCTGACCACAGGCAATTACAAGGCTTTGCCTGGCAGGCCTCATAAGGGGAAGCTGTCCTCCCACACCAGTCTTGGTACACAGCCAGTGCATTGCAGTCTCTGGAGGGGGTTGCAAGAAAGGACTCAGGCACCCCTGGGCCAACCATGCTCATTTACCTATTTTCATGTCTAGCCTAGGCGCCTGCATTTGAAGGCCTCTTTATGGGGGTCCTCAGCTGAGGTACGTTTTGGGCAACTCTGCCAAGACCTCCTCACTGCAAGGCCTTGACTAAGACATGTTTCTTCACTGTGACTTAACACTTCCACTCCTAGCCCTTACCCGTCTGTCTCCCCACAGCCTCCTGGATCCATAAAATGAGAGGATCCTTTTGTTCACAGCCCCTTGGCAGTGAAACAATCCCCTTGTCTACACTGCTGAACCTCACCCAATACTGTTCCGCAGGGGGAAATGAAACACTGAGGAGACAGCACCTATCATCCTGTCTCTTGCTTACTCTATCACAGAAACTGACTAAAAAGTTTATCATTACTTTCAGTTTGTCTTGTTGTCCTGAGTAACCACCTCAACACACAGGAGCTCAACAAGACCAGAATTTGAAAGAGATACAAATACAAAAATGAAAGTGAGAAAATTACAGCAGATGCCTCAGAAATAAAAAGGATCATAAGAGACTCTCATGAAAATGTTATGCCAACAAATAGGATAACTTAAAGGAAACAGATAAATTCCTGGAAAAAAACAACCTACCACAATTGTTAATCTGTTAGATTGTAAATAATGAGGAAGATTCAGTCAGGAAGAAAAAGAAATCCTGGAAAGAAATGTAGCAAACAAAAGATTGAAGAAGTAATCAAAGCCTTTCAAAAAATAAAAGCCCAGAACCAGATAGCTTCACAGTTAAATTCTACCAAAGAATTAATACCAATACTTCTAAAACTCTTCCAAAGAATAGAAATAGAGATAATACTTCCAAACACATCTTATAAAGCCAGTATCACCTTGATACAAAGCCAAAGACATTTCAAGAAAAGAAAACAACAGGCTAATTTCTGTAATGAATATTGATGCAAAAATGCTAAAAAAAATTAACAAACCTAATCCAACAATACATCAAAAAGATTATACATCATGACCAAATGGGATTTATCCCTGGTGTGCAAGCCTGTTTTAACATATGCAAATTAATCAATGTAACACATCACATTATCAGAATGCAAGATAAAAAATATGTGATCCTCTTTAATTGATGCAGAAAAAACATTTGACAGAATCTAACATCTTTTCTTGGTAAAAACTCTCAACAGTTTAGGTATAGAAGGAAAACACCTCAACAGAATAAAGGTCATCTATGAAAAACACACAGCTAACACTGTAACAATAGGGGGAAACTGAAAGCATTTCCAGTCAGATACAGTACAAGGCAGAGTGCTCACTCTTGCCACTTCTATTCAGCATAGTTCTATAAGTCCTAGCAAGAGCAATGAGAAAAGAAAAAGAAATAAAAGGTATCTAAACTGAAAAAGAAGTCAAATTATCCCTATTTGCAGATGAAATATTCCTATATGTAAACAACCTTAATGATTCTTAAATAGTCTTAGATTCCATAAAATCCCATTTAAATTAATAATTGAATCCAGTGATTTGCAATATAGAAAAATCAGTAACTAAGATCAGAGCAGAACTGAAGGAGAGAGAGACGCAAAAAACCCTTCAAAAAAATCAAATCCAGGAGCTGATTCTTTTTAAAGATTAACAAAATAGACCACTAGCCAGATTAATAAATAATAAAAGAGAGAAGAATCAAATAGATGCAATAAAAAAAAATAAAGGGACATCACCACTGATGATGACTTAAAGTCACCAACTTCATTAGCTTCTAATAAGAGAGTTAGCCTGTCTTTTGAAGCTTTGAAGCCAGCATTGACTTCTCCTCTCTTGCTATGAAAGTCCTGGATGACATCTTTCAACTTAAGATTGTTCCCCCTGCAATTAAAATCTGTTGTTTTGTGTTGCCACTTTCATCAATGACCTTAGCTTGATCTTCTGGATAACTTGCTGCAGCTCGTTGATCATCACTTACTGCTTCACCTTGCACTCCTGTTATAGAGATAGCTTCTTTCCTCAGACCTCATGGGGCAACCTCTGCTAGCATCAGACTTCTGCAGCTTCCTTACCTTTTTCAGCCTTCGCAGAATCGAAGAGTTAGAGCCTTGCTCAGGCTTAAGGGAATGATCTGGCTGGTTGGATCTTCTATCCAGACCACTAAAATTGTCTCCATATCAGCAATAAAGCTGCTTCACTTTCTCATCATTTGTGTATTCGCTGAATTAGTGCTTTTCATTTCCTTTAAGTACTTATGCTTTGCATTCACAACTTGGCTGTTGGGTGCAAGCGGCCTAGTTTTCAGCCTTTCTCAGCTTTCAACATGCCTTTCTCACCTTTCAACATGCCTTCCTCACTAAGCTTAACCCTTTCTAGCTTTTGACTTAAAGTGAGAGACGTGAACCTCTTCCTTTCACTTGGTTGCTTAGGGGTCTTTTTGAGGTTATTAATTGGCCTAATTTCCATATTGTTGTGTTTCAAGAATAGAGAGGCCCAAGAAGAGGGTGAGAGATGGGAGAATGGATGATCAGTAGAACAGTGAGAACACACACACATTTATCAATTAAGGTCATTGTCTTATTTGGGCATGGGTGGTGGTACCCCAAAACCATTACAATAGTGACATCAAAGATCACCAATCACACATCACCATGGTAAATACAATGACAATTTAAAAAGCTTGAAATATTGTGAGAATTACCAATATACGACACAGAAATAGTAAGTGAGCTCATGCTGTTGGAAAAATGCTTCCAAGAGACTTGCTCCATGGGTTGCCACAAACCTTCAATTTGTAAAAAAAAAACACTATTATCTGTGAAGTACGATAAAGCAACATGCAATAAAATGAGGTATGCCTGTGCTCTCCCATGAGCTGATTTCTCTGGACTTTACTTCCTTAGATTGAGGAAGTAACACCAGCCAGAGTCTGCTTTGACCCAGCAATGCTCTTTCCTGAGAAGGCCTGGGGCAGCTTGCTTAGACCGGGGCTGTGTGGACATCAAGCTGATCTTTTAATATCACGCTCAAGCCAGCGAGTATGAGCTCAGAGCGGAAGGGAAAGGAGTGTCCTGTCTCGGTTGGCCACTCACATTGGATAATGTAAGCGCAAGGGATTGTTGCCAAAGTGCAGCCTGGTTCACAGGAATACACGGACACAAAGCCTCATGGTAACTAACAAGCACAAACGTTTGCCTGGCCTTGTCCCCTCGGTGTATCTCCTTGTGGGATACCTGGAATATCCGGAGTGGACTATCTGTCCATGTCATTTCTCTTTACTTCACTTTGCCCCAACTAAACACACACTTTCCTTTAAGATTTCCAAACAGCCTCTACTAATCATATACAAAAGTGTAAGAAATCATACACTAAAGTGAAACAGCCTATATTCTATCACCTTAAATAATTTCTTGCCCTTAGCAATGTCAACAGAGCATTGTGAAGTAACAAAGCTCAGCACCTAGGATCAGAAGAAGTGAATTCAAGTTGATAACTTTCTCCTAGAAAATCTAGAGGTGAGATTTGCTCATACTTCATAAAGTGGTTCAGATATTCAATAAAATTGTCTCAAAACTGCATTTATACTATAATATTCTATAAGTGTTCTTTGAAATAATATTCCTATTTTCTGTAGAAGAAAAATAAAGCACTATAGATAATATTTTGGTCTGAATACCCTTTTATTCAGCTAGGAGTTCCAAAAATATAGGCAAGAATTTTAACATAATATTTTGACGCATACCATTTTAATATAGAATTTGTATTTGTGTAATGAAGTTTCAGTAAGTCAGTTGTTACGTATGTTTTACATATAAGCCTGTGTTTTGGATACCAGAGAGGTATACATACAGTGGAGTAATAAACAGAACACCAAATATATATTGAGAGGGCCACAGATATACCTACACATATGCATACTTATATACACACATATATATATATACTTTTTATTATGTATTTAGCAAGAATTTATTAGGTGTTGTGTACATATTTTAAGTAAGGTTGTGAACCCAAGTATATGTAAGAAAACAAAAAATATTTAGTAAACATTACTCCCATTCCCATATTCTGAAGGTATTTCCAAAGTCCTGAAAATGGCGGTGACCCTGCCTTCCTGACAAAATTTGAGAATATGATAGTTTGAGGGACCCCCAATAAAGCATAGAAAATACAGAGTATCTGACCAGTAAGAGTCCTGGGAGCAATTGACCTGTAACCTGATGGACGACAAGAGACAAATTTAATATCTGCTCAATACTCCTTGAAACACGTGCTTTTGGTGCATAGGTGTGGGTAATATTTTGTTATAACAGCCCCAGCAGCACACACAGCGTGCGAGAGAAAAACGTGTGATCCAGTCACTTTACATTCAGAAATTTCTCCTAAGGAAATGACCAGAAAAGTGAGAAGAACGCAGGCATATCACTGAAGCATTATTTGTGAGTGAAAAAGTGTCTAACATAACAAGGAATTTACTGAGTAAAATGAAATAACAAAATACTTTCTAATCTTTAAGAATTGCAGTATGAAAGTGTATTCAATGATATGGAAAACTGATCATAATACATTGCTGAATTTTAAAAAGGCTTTTTTTGTGGGTTCAGCTATAACCATTCACAACACCTATTTATGGAAAAAAGAAAAATGAAAAAATTTGCTATTTAGCACATAGTGAAGCTTGAATAATCCTTTCTGTTACTGTTGGATGAGCCAATTTCTATTACTGCATCTAATTTTAATTTACACATATTGATATTTGCTGCTTCAGGCACAGCACAAAATTTAACAAAGTCTGGTTTCTCTAAATTGTGTATTTGGGGTTGCTTTTGTCAAAACATATTACACACACACACACACACACACACACACACAGAATGATGATGTAAAGAAATGTATCCCTTCTGTGCTCATCGCCCTTGGGTTCAATTTTTATTTTCAATGATATAAAAAGAAAAAAAGAATGCAACATCACAAATAAAGAAAAAGAAAGAAGAATGCTGTGCCAAAGTCTCACAATCATTTATGAGATTTGCACAAAATCTCCCTGGGTGCTGTGATCATATTTTAGACAGCCTGGCAATGTTAAAGCCATTTCAACAAATGAGAAGCTTATGGACATTTGAAGTCAGGTCTAAACTCATATAAATTTGCAGTTTGCCTTAATTCACATTTGGTTAAGAGAAAATAATTTGTTTTAAGAATAAAAGAAAAACAGGCTTATTGACTATTTTCAGGTATTAAAGGCTATGTCCATTCCTTAGGATAGCTGGTATTTTAATTCTGTTATAAGATAAAAATCACAGAACATCAGAGAGAGTGGTCAAATGGTTTCACCTCCCTTAATTCTCTATTAAACAGGACCATTGGCTGCTGCCTAACTGCCTGAGGCTAGGATCCTTCAACTGCCCTGGCTCACAGCTGGAGTGGCTCACTGGGACAGGGCAGCTGATGACAAAATGCATGCCCACCATTCATCCAGGCCTCTGGAGCATCACTAGGCTCTGCAGGAGTCAGATCTCTGTGTTACTTTCCTCAGGGCACAAACCACATGTCATGGACATACCGAGTCCCAAAACTTACCTTTTGTAGGCCCCTGGAATCCAAGCCTCTCCCAATTCTTTAACTGAGCTATTACAAGCAAAGGAGATCATTTTCCTAAACAAATAGGATCATTTTCCTGGAAAGTTGGAGGCATTAATCACATTCTCCTCCGTAACTGAGGACATGCAGCCTATTTTTAGTAAGGGAAAATATATCTGAACATGCCACTCTTGGAAATAATAGTTATTAAACTCTTATGTTCCCAGGAGAAGGAAAATTCCATGGGAGTGCCAGAGGTCTCCGACAGTCTAAAGTGGTGTTTCCCAGGAACCTCCTGAGGGTCTTTCACAGCCACTACCTTAAACTATGCTGGATGTTTTTGTAAACCCTAATGGTTCTTAGTTAATAACAAAATACGCTAGAATTGTCTGAAGTTCAGTGGAGACCTATGGTAACTTTTCGTTTTTGACAAGTTCTAGCTGAATTCCAGAGAGACCTGTGGACATTCTATCAAGAGTCCTGGGGCGTCTGGCTAGTCTGGCTTTGCCACTTATCCCAGTATCTTGGGAAACTAGGTAGAAACACCACTGCCGAGTCCACCCACTGAAGAAAAAAGGTGCGCAGAATTTGTTATGGAAGAGACAAAAGGTGCATAGAATTTGTTATGGAAGAGGCAAAAGGTGTACAGAATTTGTTATGGAAGAGACAAAAGGTGTACAGAATTTGTTATGGAAGAGACAAAAGGTGTACAGAATTTGTTATGGAAGAGGCAAATAAGGGAGATGCTGCATATGTTATTGCGTTGCGATCTCAAAAATAAAATCAGGGTCTGGATTTGCAGGATGAAGGAGCTATGGTTCGTGTAGATAAGGTTCCATGTTACTTTAAAAAATTTAAATGATTGGCATCATTTGAAACATTTATTTTAAAAAACTAAATTAAACTAAAATTAAGACTTCTCTCCTGGCCCTCAAAAATATTTTTAGAGATATGCCCTTGTCTGCAATTTTCCCCTCACCTGTAACTATCTTACTCCTTTGCATTGGCTTGCTATTTATTGTCTTTCTGTCTCCTGCCGCTGTTGGGATTTATCTTTCATTCATTCTGACCAGATGAAAGAAAAACTGGTGCTATTATTTATATGTGTTTAGGAAAATACATAGGAGGCCAATCTATAAAATGTTTTATCTACAGCACTGTAGATAATTAAAACTCCAAATTTAAAACTCCAAAAACAAAGCCCCTTCATCCCTTACCTATAAAAAGATTTCAACTTCTACAGTTATGTAGGGATAGTTTGCCATTAAAGGTGCTTTGGCCGCTCAAATGAAATTTTTCAGCACTTCATGAGATGTCTGTCTCCAAAGTTTGAAATATTTTTGCCCCCATCAAGTAATAGCTCACAAAAGCCATCATCAGTATGCATTTAGAGGCTTTAAAAACAAACATTTCTATTAGAAAATGAAATAGCAGTGGAATGAGAGGTACAGGAAGCCAAATTGCTTTAATTTAAAATGTCGCTACCCCCAAAACTAAAAACCAAACAGTAAACAACAAAATAGTCGTCTGCCCATCAAGGAAAATAGCAGTCTTGTGATTTAATAAATATACACAAAAAATCTAAAAATATTCATAACAAAATAACATTTGAATTTCAATTGCATTCTCACTTGAAATAGCCTGGAATGTGAAAATGCAGGGGGTGGGGAAAATCTGTTTCTGGGGAATGTTATTAACAGTTAACTTATGAGTAGAGGAGGAATGTGGTCAAGTACTACTGTTTATATTGGACTTTTAGAAGCAGGTGAGTCCAAGACAACTCATTTCTGGAGAAATGTTTACTGTAGATTTAAAACATGTATTTTTAATTAGTTTGCCCAATCAAGTTGAATTTGGATGGATTGTCTATCCTGAAGTCTCTTTTTCCAGTCCTCACTTCCCATTCCACTCTGTGCTGATCAGCATGAGCAAAGAAAAACTTTATTTACTTAGTAAAAAGGTACCCATTGTCTTGATGAGACCTGGCTGTAATATTAAGACAAAGCAGCCAGATAACTACCTTGATTTTCAAAGGCTACAGTAACCAGAACAGCATAGTACTGGAACAAAAACAGGTATGTACACCAATGGAACAGAACGGAGAACTCAGAAATAAAACTGCACATCTACAACCATCTGATCTTGACAAAGCTGACAGAACCAAGCACTGGGGAAAGGATACCCTATTTAACAAATGGTGCTGGGCATATGTAGAAAATTGAAACTGGACCCCTTCCTTACACCTTACACAAAAATTTACTCAAGAAAATTAAAGGCTTAAATGTAAAACCCAAAAATATAAAAACCCTAGAAGAAAATCTAGGTAATACCATTCAGAACATAGGCACAGGCAAAGATTTTATTATGAAATCACCAAAAGCAATTGCAACAAAAGCAAAAATTGACAAATGGGATCTAATTAAACTAAAGAGCTTCTGCACAGCAAAAGAAACTATTCTCAGAGTGAACAATCTACAGAATGGGAAAAATTTTTTGCAATCTATCCATCTGACAATGGACAATGGTCTAATATCCAGAATCTACAAGGAACTTAAGCAAATTTACCAATAAAAAACCATTAAAAAGTGGGCAAAGGACATGAGCAGATACTTCTCAAAAGAAGACATTTATGTGACCAACAAACATATGAATAAAAGCTTGACATCACTAATCATCAGAGAAATCCAAAGCAAAATCAAATGAGATGCCATCTCATGCCAGACAAAATGGCAATTATTAAAAAGTAAGGAAACAGCAGATGTTGGTAAGGTTGTGGAGAAACAGGAACACTTTTACACTGTTGGTGTGGATATAAATCAGTTCAATCATTGTAAAAGACACTATGGCAATTCCTCAAAGATTTAGAATTGGAAATACCATTTGACCCAGCAATCCCATTACTGGTATATACTCAAAGGAATAGAAATCATTCTATTATAAAGATACATGCACACGTATGTTCATAGTGGCACTGTTTACGATAGCAAGGACCTGGAACCAACCCAAATGCCCATGAATGATAGTCTGGACAAGGAAAATGTGGCACATATACACCATGGAATACTATGCAGCCATGAAAAGGAATGAGATTATGTGCTTTACAAAGACATGGATGAACCTGGAAGCCATTATTCCAAAAGTAATGCAGGAACAGAAAGCAAACATCTTCTCACTTATAAGTGGGAGCTGAACAATGAGAAGGCATGAACACAGAAGGGGAACAACACACACTGGGGCCTGTTGGGGAGGTTAGGGTAGGGGGAAAGCATCAGGAAAAATAGCTGATACATGTGAGGCTTAATACCTAGGTGATGGGTTGATAGGTGCAGCAAACCACCATGACACACACATTTATGTAACAAACCTGCACGTCCTATATATGTACCCTGGACTTTAAAATAAAAATGGCCTTGATTTTCAGAAAAATTCTTTGGAGATATCCATGATTTTTATATAGCTGTCCCATCAGATCAAACCTAACTCCCTACCAACCTCTTCCATCAGAAACTGAATTAGCTTTCAAGAGTATAAGCCATCAGCACTACAGGAAAATTTTGTTATTGTATGACTTATAACTAAAAATGATTCTTATACTTTGGAAATGACAAAATCATCACAATTCAAAACTCTTCCTCAAATAGGTAATTACTCAAGTCAATATGCCAATTAAAGCAAATACTTTAAAATACACCAATATATAGATGGATTACATACACAATTTATATGTATGTTTTCTTCAAAGAAAAGTTTAATCTCCCTATACACAGATAGTTCAACTTGTTCAAACAATAAAAGTGATCATTTGTATTTTCTTCCAGATTTGTAGAATAATTATATTATTTGCTCTTCTGCTTAAACTAAAGAATAATATTAGTTTCCAAAAGCAAAGGAGCTAAGTTTTAATAGAACATATGAGATTTATTTTTATTTTTATTGTACTCTATGGCTAAGGAAAATAAAATTCTAAGATTCACCAAAAGCGTATGAAAAAATAAGATGTATCCAGTGATTTGTCAAAAAGCATTTTTTTATATTATTAGGAGTAAAAACAGCCCCAGAAAAGTCCTCACCCAAGAATAGGGCAGAGCTTATTGGGATAGGCTTTCACCCAGATAGAAGAACATCTTAAAGCAGTCCTGCCTCTAACTGGAAATTTTCCTGTATCTTCCTTCCTCTCCATGGTACATTTAGGCAATAGCCCATCAGCACCTGAGTGGTGATGTAGAACCCTTCTAAGTGATCTCATCTCAACATCACAGTTCTTTCTGGAACCTTGAGAGTGGCTAATTCTGCAGACAGACCTCTTGTAATAGTTTCAATATATTCGTTTCCTATTGGTGCTGTAACCAATCATTACAACCTTCGTGTCTTGAAACAACCCAAATTTATAATTACAGTTCTGGAAGTCATAAATTCAAAATGATCTCAGTGATACAAAGACAAGGTGTTAGAAAGTATTTTCTTTCAGGAGGCCCTGGAGAAAAATGTTTCCTTGTCTTTTGTAGTTTATAGACGCCATCTGTATTCCTTGGCCCATGCCTCTTCCTCTATCTGCAGAGTTGGCAGAGTTGGCAGAGTTGGCAGGGTATCATCTTCAAATCTTCAAAAAAACTGACTCTCCTGCCTCCCTCTTTCACTTATAAGGAAACTTGTGTATACACTGCATCCACCCTGCTAATACAGAGTAACACCCCCCATCTCAAGTCAGCTGATCGGCAAACTTACTTTGTCCCTTCTCAAGTAACACAACAAATCCACAGGTTTCTGGGATTAGATATGAGCATATCTGGCCAGGCATGATGGCTCACACCTGTAATCCCAGCACTTTGCGAGGCCAAGGTGGGCAGATCACTTGAGGTCAGGAGTTCGAGACCAGCCTGGCCAAGATGGCAAACACCATCTTTACTAAAAATACAAAAATTAGCCAGGCATGGTGGTGTGCACCTGTAATTCCAGCTACTTAAGAGGCTGAGTTGCAGGGGGTGGAATTGCTTGAATCCAGGAGGCAGAGGTTGCAGTGAGCCGAGATCATGCCACTGCACTCCAGCCAGGGCACTGGAGCAAGACTCCATCTCAAAAGAAAAACATAAAAAGAAAAGAAAGGGGAGATGAGGAGGGGAGAAAGGAAAGGAGAGAGGAGAGAGGGGAAAGGGGGAAGGGAGGAGGAAGAGGATGATGGGAGGGGGAAGAGGAGAGGAGAACATCATTGTGAGGTGTGGGGAGTGTATTATTTTGCCTACCAATATTTCTCCAGTAGTCAATACCCTACAACTTCATCCCTATGACTTAAAATCTCTGGTTATGTGATCTTGAGCAAACCGCTTAATTTTTCTCCGCTTCAGTTGTCATCTCTAGTGGTGATGGTTTGAATCACAGCTCTGCCACTTACTTGTGACCTTGCAAGTTCTTAATCTGTATACGCTTTGGTTTCCTTTGCAGAGAGAACAGAAAAAGGATAACAATAACTAACTCACAGGTTATGATGATTAAACAAAACAATACAATTAGAAATCCTGGCTCAAATTAGGGCTTAATAAATGTAACTGGTTTGGGAACCATGTAAATTATTAGCATAGGGTCTGTTATATAGCAGGTGGTCACTAAATTCAAAGAAGAATTATTAATAAGCAGTAACTAGTATTAATCATGTTAATCATTACTGTTAACATAGGCATTGCATCTTGTTTACCTTGTTATTTCCCACAATAAGTTTATAGTGATGTGTAGTGACCATATATCACTATTTATATTATATATAGGTAGGTAATATGTCTGCTATATCAGTAAGAATTCATTTGGTTAAAAGTGATATAAACCCATCTTAAATTTTCTTAAATGAAAACAATTTACCAGCCAACACATTTTTAAAATATAGGCATGGATGACCATTGAAGCAGAAGTTGGTACTTGCCTAGAAAACTACCTCTCTGAGAGCTTTTATCTGGCTTTGAGGACAGGCCCAGGCACAAAGCAGGGCAGGGAAGGAGTGTCAGAGAGTTAATGCCCCTGAAAACAGCTATAAATCAATGATACCTGGGGAGCTGATGAATAACTTCTCCAGGCTCCTCACCTCTCAGAGGGAATGACTCTGAAACCTGTCCTACAGTGTCTCACCAAGTTTCTTATCTGGGATTGAGCCCCAGTTGCCCACAGTATCAACATGCCTAAAAGTACATTTTTATTGTCTTCCTTTACTTCTCAATCTTCTTTCCCCACTCTCTTACCAGTATTCCCTGGGCTCACCTTCCAAATACATTGCTGGCACTCAACTTTATAACACTGCCGCAACACTTAGGCAGCACCCACCTCCCAGATATTGCTCTTACATGATGTCAAAACCAGGTCGGTCGGTCGGTCGGTCGGTCGCTCTCTCTCTTTCCCTCCCTCCCTCCCTCCTTCTCTCCCTCCCTCCTTTCTTTCCTTCCTCCTTTCCTTTCTTTCCTCCTTCCTTCCTTCCCTTCCTCCCTCCCTTCCTCCCTTCCTTTTTTGAATTATACTTTAAGTTCTGGGGTACATGTGCCGAGCGTGCAGGCTTATCACATACTTATATACGTGCCATGGTGGTTTGCTGCATCCATCACCCCATCATCTACATTAGGTATGTCTCCTAATGCTAGCCTTCCCCTAGCCTCCCACCCCCAAACAGGCCTCTGTGTGTGATGTTCCCCTCCCTGTGTCCATGTGTTCTCATTGTTCAACACCCACTTATGAGTGAGAACATGCTGTGTTTGGTTTTCTGTTCTTTTGTTAGTTTGCTGAGAATGATGGTTTCCAGCTTCATCCATGTCCCTGCAAAAGACATGAACTCATCTTTTTATGGCATCATAGTATTCCATGGTGTATATGCGTCACATTTTCTTGATCTAGTCTATCACTGATGGACATTTGGGTTGGTTCAAAGTCTTTGCTATTGTGAACGGTGTCGCAATAAACATACGTGTGCATATGTCTTTATAATAGAATGATTTATAATCCTTTGGGTGTATACCCAGTAATGGGATTGCTAGGTCAAATGGTATTTCTAGTTCTAGATCCTTGAGGAATCACCACACTGTGTTCCATAATGGTTGATCTATTTTATGCTCCCACCAACAATGTAAAAGCATTCCTATTTCTCCACATCCTCTCCGGCATCTGTTGTCTCCTGACTTTTTAATCATCGCCATTCTAACTGGCATGAGGTGGTATCTCATTGTGGTTTTGATTTGCATTTTTCTAATGATCAATGATGATGAGCTTTTTATCATATGTTTGTTGGCTGCATAAATGTCTCCTTTAGAGAAGTGTCTGTTCAGATCCTTTGCCCCCTTTTTGATAGGGTGATTTGTTTTTTTCTTCTAAATTTGTTTAAAAGACCTTTGTAGATTCTGGATATTAGCCCTTTATCAGATGAGCAGATTGCAAAAATTTTCTCCCATTCTGTAGGTTGCCTGTTCACTCTCATGATAGCTTCTTTTGCTGTGCAGAAGCTCTTTAGTTTAATTAGATCCCATGTGTCTATTTTGGCTTTTGTTTCCATTGCTTTTGGTGTTTTAGTCATAAAGTCCTTGCCCATGTCTATGTCATGAATGATATTGCCTAGGTTTTCTTCCAGGGTTGTTATGGTTGTAGGTTTTACATTTAAATCTTTAATCCAACTTGAGTTAATTTTTGTATAAGGTGTAAGGAATGGATCCAGTTTCAGCTTTCTGCATATGGCTAGTCAGTTTTCCCAACACCATTTATTAAATAGGGAATCCTTTCCCCATTGGCTGTTTTTGTCAGGTTTATTAAAGAGCAGATGGTTGTAGATGTGTGGCATTATTTCTAAGACCTCTGTTCTGTTCCATTGGTTGATATGTCTGTTTTGGTACCAGTACCATGCTGTTTTGATTACTGTAGCCTTGTAGTATAGTTTGAAGTCAGGTAGCATGATACCTCCACGTCTGTTTGTTTGTTTGTTTTGTTTTGTTTTGTTTTGTTTTGTTTTGTTTTGTTTTGTTTTGCTTAGGATTCTCTTGGCTATGTGGGCTCTTTTTTGGTTCCGTATAAAATTTAAGGTGAAAACCAGGTCTTAATAAGGCATTCTACCTTAGTCTTAGGGGAGCCAAATAATCAATTTAATTGTGGTGTCCTTCTTGGACATTAGGAATCTTAAAAGAGTAAAGTGAAGAATGTTGGAGAGGTGGGAGTGGAGATTTCCTGAGTAGCTGGGATTACAGGCATGCACCACCATGCCTGGCTAATTTTGTATTTTTAGTAGAGATGGGGTTTCTTCATGTTGGTCAGGCTGGCCTCAAACTCCAAACCCCAGGTCATCTGCCCACCGTGGCCTCTCAAAGTAATGGGATTACAGGCATGAGCCACTGCACCCAGCCTCTAGCAAACATTAAAAAAAAATTTTTAATTTTTGTGGGCACATAGTAGGTTTATATATTTATGGGGTACATGAGATGTTTTGATACAAGCATGAAATGTGAAATAATCACATCATGAAGAATGGGTATCCATCACCTCAAGCATTTATCCTTCGTATTACAAGTAATCCAATTACATTCTTAGTCATCTTAAAACGTACAGTTAAGTTATTACTAACTATAATCACTGTGTTATGCTATCTGATAGTAGGTGTTCATTCTATTTTATTTTTGTACCCATTAGCCATCTCCAGCATCCCACTACCCTTCACCACCTCTGGAAACCGTCTTTCTACTCTTCATGTCCATGAGTTCAATTGTTTTGATTTTTAGATATCACAAATAAGTGAGAATCTAGCAAACTTTGTAAAAGGTGATAAATCTATATATGACTTGGAAAGAGATAGGCTATGTAAAATAGAAAAGGAAGGGTATAAAAAGTGTGCTGATTTTATGTTTACATTTGTGTTTAAATGGATCAGCAAATATGTTTTGGTATTGACTCAAAGTGATTGCATCTACCATTATGATAACAAGACAGGATTCACTCTGCTGTATCTCCTGATGCCAGTCTCCAAGGTAAGAGGCCCTTTAAAACCTTAATGTAGGCTACCAGTAGGCTGTCTGTCATTTGTTTAACTCAGGTCTGGAATCATGCCACCCTGTTTTCGCAACCAGATATGCTAGACACAGTTTTAGATAAGCAAAGATCAATATGCTGGTTAAGATTAAATACAAATGCAAAATGTTGAGTGGATCTTACCATGTGAAATGAGATATAGCTGTTTATAGCTGTTTCTGTTTTGTGATGTTGGCTAGGAATTAGGATCACGTTTGCACAATAACTGATGCAAAATTTCCAAATTCTCCAGAGCTGTGCATCTGCCAGCCCTGGTTTGCCATCTTTTTTTATTTCAATTTATTTTTTATTATTTAATTTTTTTTTATTATACTTTAAGTTCCGGGATACATGTGCAGATCACGCAGGTTTGTTATATAGGTATACATGTGCCATGGTGGTTTGCTGCATCCAATCCCCTCGTCATCTACATTAAGTATTTCTCCTAATTTTTTCCTTTCCCAATACTTCCACCCCCTGCTATCCCTCTCCTAGCCCCTCAATTCCCGACAGGCCCTGGTGTGTAATGTTCCCCTCCCTGTGTTCATATGTTCTCATTGTTCAACACCCACTTATGAGTGACAACATGTGTTGGTTTTCTGTTCTTGTGTCAATTTGCTGAGAATGATGGTTTCCAGCTTCATCCATGTCCCTGCAAAGGACATGAAGTCATCCTTTATGACTGCATAGTATTCCATGGTGTATATGTGCCACATTTTCTTGATTCAGTCTATCACTGATGGGCATTTGGGTTGGTTCCAAGTCTTTGGTATTGTGAACAGTGCCACAATAAACATATTGTGCATGTGTCTTAATAATAGAATGTTTTATAATCCTTTGGATATATACCCGGTAATGGGATTGCTGGGTCAAATGGTATTTCTAGTTCTAGATCCTTGAGGAATCACCACACTGTCTTCCACAATGGTTGCACTAATTTACATTCCCACCAACAGTTTAAAAGTGTTGCTATTTCTCCATATCCTCTCCAGCATCTGTTGTCTCCTGATTTTTTAATGGTCGCCATTCTAACCAGTGTGAGGTGGTATCTGAATGTGGTTTTCATTTGTATTTCTCTAATGACCAGTGATGATGAGCTTTTTTCATATGTTTGTTGGCTGCATGAATGTCTTCTTTTTAAAAGTGTCTGTTCATATCCTTTGCCCCCTTTGTGATGGGGTTGTTTTTTCTTACAGATTTGTTTAAGTTCTTTGTAGATTCTGGTTATTATCCCTTTGTCAGATGGTTAGATTGCAAAAATTTTTCCCCATTCTGTTGATTGCTGGTTCACTCTAATGATGGTTTCTTTTAAGGGGACTTAGAGGCTAGAGATGATCACTCAATTAGGGGCTTGTTCTATACACAGTGGAATCCTTGACACAAGGACTTGTTTTGATTATCTTCTTTCTATGTTTGAATTGGTG